CAGGAGCCCGTGTAGGGCTGGGCTTGCAGCCCCCAGTGCTCTGCCTGGGGCCGGGTTAGGCAGCATCCACACACCGGCTTTCTGCACCAAGTGACAGCAGCAGCATGGTAGAGGTTAGGATGGGATTCGCCTCACTGAACTTCAAGTATCAGTAGCAGAGCTGCCAAGGGGGATCTGGCTAATAAAGCCACCTGAGTTTAGGAAATACCTGTGTAACCAAATGCAGGCATTTGCTTCAGCATGAGAGGGCTCAGCCATACTGACCAGACTCTGTGGACTGGGGAGGAAAGCTATGGTGCCTCGCTCAGACACAGGCACTTACACGTGATGGGAGGTGAGCATCACACTCCAAATCCAAAAATAAAGTAGTCCTGAATTCAGCACGGATCCACCCTGATACAATAGTGACAGCGACAGTCACACCAATACGTAGCTGGGAAATGCAGACAAAAATAAAACCTGTGGGAACAAGCTAAATTCTCAAAGGACTACAATAACCATCATTTAAAAACATCACAATTTTGACTGGCATTCAAAAACATCCAAATACCCTTAGCAGGGTTCAAAGCCATGCTGTGCTAAGCACTGTACAACCATATAATAAGATACTCCCTGTCCATGGAGAATGTGTGCAAGAGCAGTAAGATCAGGCCATGGTCTTTGCCCATTTTCTTTCTTATTTTTCTTCCCTATCATCTTCACAGGGTTCTCACCAATCACCCATTGGTTGTACCAGAAAACAGTGACATGATTTGGGCAAGAACTTGTATTAAAAATGAGCGTATATTGTTGTTCACAAACTTTCTGACTTTCCGAGGCCAAGTCTGTACCGTGACATTTCAGGTTTCTTTTCAGGTGATGTCAGGTTGTTTCAACATGCAGAACCAGAAAAGCATATCAACAATTGTATGAGAAAAACAAATTGGGCAGCTATCTTCAGTTCAGCATTTTATCACTTTGTAAACCATACTATGGCCAAGGAAAAACAAGTATGAAGGGAATTGGGTCAATTCAGGACATGAGTTATTTTGAAACTCCTCTGCACCATGTTTAATATAAGCACATTGCACTGTACCACAAAGGATAGCGCCACTTAAAACAAGAGAAATTTAAAGCATGTGTGCAGGTTTGCAGCACCGGGTGAAACAGACCTAATACAAATCATGATTTCATCTTGTGCAACACGAACTGACATTTTTTCACTTCTTTGCCTTCAGGGACAGGGTCTTACTGAGCAATGAATGGGTGATTAAATCATTAGCACTGAAGGGAAAGACTTGCACAAGAGTAAATCTGGGCTCCATGGAGGAAATAACAGCTTAGGCTACGGGTTATGGCTCTCACTAAGCAAATGACAATGAATGCAAGTCCCTACTAGTACTGACACTTTTTTTTTTTCCCCCTTTACAAGATTTAAACTGCATGCTGCAGTGTCTGGGCATTCAGTCTGAGCATGACATGTCTAAATGAAACTGTTGCTATTCACAGCACAACTAGCATTTGTACATAGGAATGCAGCAAGATTTTGGCACCCAGGGGCTTATCTTCACTGCAAAGCTAAATTAACATTATAAAGTTGTACTTTGAATGTTGCCTTTATTTTAAGTACTATTCACATCCAAAAACTTCACTCAAGTATGATGTAGAGCAGACACAGGATGGAAATAGGTTGGTGCTGCCAGACCTCACACACCTTCCCCTAATTCCCATGCATCAAGAAAGGTTAAACTCTCACAGAATCCACAGTGAAATAATTTACAGAACAACCTCATATATTTCTTCTGATGATTGTAACCCATGCCAAAATGATCCCTGTAGTTGTCTACCCCAGTAATCTGCCAGAGGCTACTCTTTCTCTTATTTTCTAACAGGAGCAATAGAATATTATTTTTTTTCCTGAAACTGTGGTTTCATGCACATTAATATGGTTCTGCACACTGCCAGAGCACTCAGCAGCACATATTTAATCTTGATCACGTGTGGGCATATGACTGCATTTCTGTTAAAACAGACAGAGCACATGATGAGGTTTTTACTGTCACCTTCTATCAACGCGAACTTTATGTCAGCCTGGGAGGCTGAATGATGGCTGATCTGTTACAAAGACAAGCAGTATGAAGTTAACCCGTTACATTACTCTGAACTGATCTGAGCTGGCAGAAGGAATACACAGGAGGCAATGTGCAACCTGGGGCTATGCCATTCTGGATACCATTAGAGGAGACAGAAAGTAGATCGACTGCACTGGCCAGCCAGGGCCTCAGGCATGGCAGCACACAAGCCAAGATGCTATCTTAACCTGGCAATTTTGAAACCAATTTGCAATTGGCATCCTTGCCCAAGCCCCATGCCACCAGCCCATGGGGCTGTACAGCTAACAAGAAAGATGCTATGACCCAGATGACCAACAAACCGGCATAGATACAACACCTTAGGCGTTATGGCCCATTGCTCAAAGTGGTGAAAGTGAAATGACTAAAGATAACAGAAACTGGATGTAAAATAACTCTGCTTGAACCCTGTAAATGATCCACCCCATGGCACAGCGCACAGCCGGCATCTGGCCCCACGGATCCATCAGCAAACCTCAGCGGCATCTTCTCGCCCTTCCTTACAGACTGCTACCACCTTGTGGTCATGCTGTTTTCCATGTTCGTAAAAGCAGACGAAAGAAACCTTTAGAAGTCAGTCCCATTTTCCCCCGTTCCTCCAGAGACAAATGATTTTTAGGGAAAGAAGTTGCAAACACAGTGCACTGTGGGGCAATTGTGTCACTGGAAGTAACGTAAAGGAATACACGACAAAAACCTTTGTCATAAAGCAAACACAAGGATCTCAAAATATCACCTACCATTCCATTTTACAAATGCAAATAAAGCTCTGTTAAGGAAGGACAGCACAGACATTTTAAAACCAAATTAACTAATTGTGAAGAACGGTTTCTCCAGAATCAAAGATTTAATGCACCCATCCTGAAATCCTAGAATCCTTGATTCATTCAGGAACAAATTAACACTGAGATGGAGAAATCATTTGTAAAACAAAGCTTAAAGACATTTTAAATCAAGCTGCTGCCAACACCTTTTCCCCACAAAATAATGTAATAGTGTGTAACTTCTCACCGGAGGTACCCAAAAGTTTCCGGAAACCCCAAACTAAGGTTTAGGCTGTGCACTGTCAGCCCAACACCTTGCTTTTGCTGAGGGAATATTTCATTTCATTGTGAGGTAGGATGCTGCCCAGTGGGCAGGATAGATTAGATTTATGGCACAGTTTCCATTCTAGGTTCTGCCCTCTGCCCTGTCCTGCCTCCTTGCCTATCTGGGGTTGCTCACTGATACACATCACAAGACACAACACGGTTCTGACCGGGGTGATGACAGAAATAAAAGTCAGTAACTGAAGTAAGAGCACATGGTTGATTTTATTTGATTTGTGTTGCGGTTAGGTTACAGACACTGGTGCTGGTACAAGGGAAGTAAATCTAATCATTCATCTGGCAATTTAGGACAGCAAAAAAAAAAGTTCTGAAAGTATCAGGATAGCAATCAGACAGTATTACTCTTCAGCCTACAAAAGAGAATCATTTTTCAAGCCTCTTTCAGGAGTTTTCCCACTATTTGCCCAAACTGCAGTGGTTTTCTTGGTGCCCAGAGTATCACGCTAGATGTGCTTATCGTATGTTAAACAGTTTTCACTCGTTATAAGCAGGAAGACACGATGGCTCAAATTTCCTTTCTCGGAGACTTTTATAGGCACTGCAGTTAGCACGACACTGAGACATAAGCTGTTGACTTGACACGCATGTGCGAGATGTGCAAACACTGAATTTACTTTATTGCAGTATTCATGCTGATTATGCCCCTTGACGTGCAGGGCAGAGGGTAATGCCCCAAAAACCTCCCTTTTCCACGCACAGCCCCGCGAGGTGCCGGAACGGGCTCCTCAGCATCCCCACCCAGCCACCGCCAGGAGGCGACTCGGCGCCGCCATCTTAGGGCAGCCCCGCTCGGCGCCGAACTCTCGCGAGAGGCGGCGCGGTTGCCATGGCAGCGGGGCCGGGGAAGCACCGCCCCCGGGCCGGGCCCCGGCCGCGGCCGTGCGGGGAGCGGGCAGCGGGGCGTGAGGGGCGACAGGGGGGGGAGGCGGCGGCCGCGCCCCGCGAGCATGTCAGGAGGCCCGGAGCAGCAGCAGGCAAGGGCACCCCGCGTGGAGGACGGGCACGCAGGGTCCTGCGGCTGCCCCAGAGGTGGCGGGCGCCGCCGCTCCGAGCTCTGCTGAGTCGCGACTGCTGCGCTGTCGTGACAGCGACGACATGAAAGAACATGAAATAAACGCTATGTTAAGCACAGGAAAGAGGACAAACACTGTTGTTCCTGGGTTGCCTTGCCAGTATGCTTCAAATTTAACCCGGGATTGCTGATTGCTTCTCGTGGTCCATGAGCAGCCTGGATGCAGAGTGGCTCCTGTTTAATTTTTGCCAAGTGTTAAACCTCTATTTACTGATTATCAAGTTCCTCATTTCCCTGTCCCTGTCATTATTGCTTTGGGATAATTGTGGCATATACCGCATTGCCACCAAAAGGACCGCTGCTATTGGTTTCCATTGCCTCTCCCGCTCTTACGTTAGTGGACTTGTATGGGCTAGCTATTGTAGCTGAAAACCAGACATTTTTGTCTTATGTTAGTTTTCTCTTCTACCTTTTCACCCAACAGTATGAATACCAGTAACGCACAAGAGAGGCACTGGGGAAACTGGCTAAGTCAAAGCATGTCTCCTGTGAGAGGCAGCCAAGAATAATGGCACTGTAAAGGACTATACAGACTTGGCCTAATTATTTTTCAAGCCATAAATAAAGTAAACCAAAGTAGAGGTAGCTCTTCTCTCTGAAAATAGGAAGAAGCAAGCTGTCCTGCTACAGACTTTCGATTTTAAGTTAGGTTGATTTTTGTGTGTTTTTTTTGTTTGTTTGTTTGATTGATTGTTTGTTTGTTGTTTTTTTAGGATGAGGACTCCCATAACTCCTTTGTGGCAGAAGATAGTCAGCAGTGTGCAGTTTGAACAGGTTAGGACCCTTTTTGTTATTTCCCTACATTTTCACTGTAAGACCACTGTGGGTAAGAAAGGGAGAACAGAACAGATATCGGTAAGCATATAACTGTCAAGCTGTAAATTAAATTGGAGCTAGGTCTAGTCACACTTTATGGCTCTTGACCTTGGTGAGTGATTATCTCGGTCCCATCCTGCAGCATGCTCTTGATCACCAAGTACTGATTTGGTATTTTAGTAGCCAGTTATCCATTAAAGTTAAGTACTAACTAGAGTTTAAAGATCGGTTCAGAAGTTTTGTTTTCAGTTCATGTGCATTTCACATATAGTATCATCTACACTTGGATCCTTGCAGTGAAGAGCTGTTGTTTATTACGGTGTTCTTGTTTGTTGTGAGGAGAAGTAGTTCTAGAAACCAGATCTAAGCTGATTATGTTTTTTGTTTGTTTGTTTTGTTTTGTTTTCTGGTAAAATAAGTCCGGTGGGTGCTGGTATCTGATTCAGACCCAAAACAAATTTAAAAGAATAAAATTTCCATGAAACCAAACTCCTGTCTTTTGGCCTGTTCAAAGTGGGTAGTAGTAAGGACAGAGGGAAAGCTTTGAAAGGGGATCTTTTCCTACCAATGGCAAAGACAAGTAATTGACTTTGGCCAGTGTAGTGGTCAGTGCACAGTACCAGTCCCAATCTTCAAATTACTAGTTTTTTATCAAAACCCTTTCTCTGCCTGTCATGTTTTCATTCATGTGGCTTATCATGACTTGGCAGGGTTCCTTGTGGACAAGTAAAAGCTCCCAGCTCCCCCAACCTCTTCCAAATGTCTCTGGAGATGTACAAAATTCTCGATACCATCAGATTGTTCTCTCTCCTGTCATGCTAGCCAGTACTATCTCGTTATCGAATACACTGTTTGATAAGTTCTATAGGAATAAGCTTTGTTCCGTGTTTGTGTAATATTGTACTGTACAGATTTGGGCTTAGGCATTGAGACTGTAGGCCTTACCATAATATGCTAGTAATAAAAGCAGTAATAATAACAGATGTCATCATTTTCTACAGGAACCCACATAAGCTATTTCTTGCTACAGTGCTCTGTGGTTTAATGAATTAACTGTTCATTCAATGCTACTTTTAAATTCAGTGTGATTTCTAGGCTAGAACATTGCATTTACGTTTCACTGGGATGTAATTTTATTGCGCCATGCTTAGTTATGTTAATTTCATGTAGATAATTTGTGCAGCCTGTTTCCACTTGAAAGAACAACAGAGACTGATGTGAGGGTTCTTTCGCTTTCTTACAGATTCTGTTTGTGCTGATCTTTTTCCAAGGGCAAAACAGATTCTGTTACCATCTGATTCAGAGGCAGAGGTTCCACACCTTCAGGAGCTGTCAAAGCCATCTGACTTACCACCTGTAGGTCAGTTTTCCCAGGTGTACTGGCCAAACCAATGTAAAGTCATCAGGGACAGAATTGAGCACATTGGTAAGTTACTGTGGTATGCTCAAAATCTTGCTTGTGGGCAAAGGGGAAGCACACCTTACATATAAATACAGCCAAGAATTTCTTGTTAGTATGACTGAGATCTTAAGAGAGAAATCACTATTAGTTCAGATCTAATTGCTACAGAAGAAGAAAGAATACTAGTGCAGTTAAAATTTTCATACATATGCTTAACTCACATCCTTTTCTAGCTCCCCTTTCCACTGCTCCTCTAGGTCCTCAGGTCAGTGGTTTCATTCCAGAGGTTACATTCTGGTGGAGGGGAGGAGTTGCTTGTTGTGAACTGTCACCCCCTGGAGTCCTTTGCTGGGAGAAACATAATGTTCATATTGATGATATCTTCTTCCTTACTCTGGGAACCAAATGACTTTGGGGGGTCATTTTTATATGTTCGATTGCTTGCGCTTACATTTTTCTCTTTTGTGTTGGTCTGCAGCTCCATGTTAGACCTGAATTTTGTTTATATGGTATCCTTTACATTCATTAGATATTATTTCATTGTTCTCTTTGTTGTCCCTAAAATGAGTTTTGTCGAGCTCCAGGTCTGCATTTCTTCAGGTGACAATAGGAGAGTTGTTTATAGCCATAGGGTCTCCAGTGCCAAACTTGTGCCCTGTCCATTACCATCCTGTGACAGTACTCCTGTACCACATCCTGCATCGCCACTTCTCAAAGCCTGTTATTGGACCAGGCTTTTATTTCCCAAAGCCTCTGTCTGCTACTGAACCAGACCTGTATTTCGCACACTACATAATTCTGTCGGAGTTGCAAATATCTCGATATGCGCAGAGTAACTGCTCGTTTCTGTTGTCTGTATAAGCCCACAAAATACTACACAAAAATAAACAATAGTAAAGCACATTAGCCATGTACCTGGTCCGTTAGAGAGATTACTGTCACAGCTAAACTAAGTGAAACAAAGCTGCAAACAGATAAGAAAAGTTCAGACAGATTAAGCTTATCTTCAGTCCAGAGGTCTTGCAAACTCAATACAAGTTGTATGGCCTGTTACTAGTAATGTCAGTGTTTTCAGGGTTATATAACCATAACCATGACCATGACCATAACCATATAACCATATATGGTCATATAACCATATATTAAAACCATGGTTATAACCATATATGGTTATATAACCGTAAACATATTAATGCCAACTAATAACTGCTTTTATGCAGTGTGTACAGAAGTCATACTGCGAACCTATTAGGAGATGATGAAGACTTGACCAGTTCCTGTGCTTTATAAATACAAACAATTGTGATTTGGAAGTAATTAGTAGAAATCAGAAATGCAGAGAGGTGGGACTGAGACATCTATGACTTTATTCTGTTGTCTATGAAAATAGAATATATTCAATGGAATGAGATGAGACCGCTGTATTACAGGAAGGAAATGCCAACTGTCACCATGTACCATCAGTCAGGGTTCAACAAACAGTTCTTTGACATGCCAGGTGAATGTCCTGCGATTTGCAGGGAGGCACTTTATTGTAGCCATGCAGTGTCTCCGTGGCCAGCAATCAGTGACTTCACTCTGTAGTTGGAGCTTCTGTTTTCTTAATGGTACCATGTGCTTAGAGAGAGCAGTACAGGAATTCTGAGTAACTGCTGGGCAAACAAGCTGTACAAAGAATGGAGGTAGGTTTGCACAGCAGAAGTTAGCCCGTGCACAGACTGATACATCTTTTTATTTAGAGTTATAGTGGAGATTTGTTCACAGATCAAAAAAATGACGTTCATAATGGGGGCTCCCTATTCCCTTATGTATAACCAGAGTAAACAGAGTGAACTGCTTTTCATTGTGTTCTTCATACTGTGTAGACTCTAATACAATCTTCCTGCTCATAGTTAATCTGTGTATTTTTCAGATTGGATACCCACTACCCCTGAGCCAATGTACACTCCAACAGGTTTGGAGATGATGCCGCCATACCAACCTCCTGACAAAGGCACTGTGGTTTATCTTGGAGAAGAAGGTGAGAACACCTTGAGAAATGTTGCTGTCAGCTGTAGGTAGATGAAGCACCTTCTTTGATGCCAATGTTTTAGCTTCTTAATCAACCTAATTCAAAGCCTAATGAAATCAGTATGATTTTATGTTGTTATTTTTAAGCAGTTGGCAATAAATCCTTTTCCTATAGATAAGGAATAAAATTAGTTACACAGCAGTCTTATCAGCCATATGTTCTGCTCATGCTGCTAATAAACTCAGAAGACCAGCTCAGTTCAAGTCATTGTTCTCAGTAAATGACAGCACGAAGCAGCTGAAATGTGTTGCTTAAAAAGTATGAGTGGAGAAAGGTTACTTAACATCCAACCAAAAGAGAAAGTAAAAAAGATGAGAGCTCTACAACTACAGGATCACCACTAAAGTCTGCATTGGGAGAAATTTTATTACTCTGTCTGCAACAAATGTTTAGCCAAGACTTATAAACAAAACCTGACCAGACTGGATCAGTGCTTAATTACAGGCACCACAGTCTGGCAAGGATTAACTGGACAGAAATGAAGGGGGTTGGTTGCCCTACTCCACCATCACCTGTTGATTAACAGAGGTTTATTTATTTATTTTTTTTTTCCCCTATGTTTACTAAGTTGATACAATTGCCTTGAGTGAACTTGGAGCTTCTGGTGGTTGTTGATTTTGGCCCTGGGCCACTTGTGCATAGATAAGAAGAGATAATAATAGTTTTGCAATTCTAGGATAACTAGCTGTGGCCACAACATTTTCAGATGTGCAAAACTGAAAGGATGCTGACATCATTCTTGAGGTCAACATGCCTGGTAAAGGCTTGCAATATGCTAAAAAGTACCAGTATTTTGAAACAATGCTTATCTGGAAATTTGCTGTCTCTGCAGAATGGGAATATTACCCATCACTAGTAGGTTGCTCCATGTGGTAATCCTCCACCTGAATTAAGTCATACTTCTGACCAGGAAAACTGGTAACTGTTGTGTGTCTGGGAAAGAACTTCTGTCCTCTGCAACCAGACCTGCTAACCTACTGTAAGGTATAAGGTGTAGAGGAACACTCTGAATCCCTGTATCCCGCCTTTTTGAAAACAAGGACAGTGATTTCTGTTAAAATTTATTACTTGTCAGTCTTTAAAAATGTAACTTCCCACTTTCTGGGACAGAAACCCCCAGGTTGGTAGCTTTGCTATCTAAACTATATAGCAATAAACATAATTTTTAAAACCCTAACATCCTCTGTACAGAGGACATCTGTAGGGTAGGGCAGAGATACCTTACACAGATTCACAATGTGAGTGCTACTTTGGCTGGCATGTCATGAGCCATCGTATCCTGAGGGAGGCAGCAGCTGCACTCTCCTGATTTCCCACTGAATTTGACTTCAACGGGAGCTGCAATGCAAGGAACTACCTGCTTCTGAGTTCTTGCAGGCCCTCCTAAAATCTAATTTAGGAGAGAAAAATACAATCCAGTGCTGACCCTCGTGAAAAAAATAAAAAATCAAAATACCATGATAGAAAACTCAAAATTCTTCTAATGAAAAACCCTATGGATCTGTAGTAACTTAGATCACCAAGAGCAAGACACTGAATATTACATCCTTTGTGTATGGCAACAGCAAATGAGTGAATGGAAAAATGTCCTATAGCAATCTCAGTTTTGAATAACTTCTCTGAGTCATTGTCAGAGCTTTTCTAAAACTACAGGAGAGTACAGCTCATGCTCTGTGAGTCAGGATAAAATCACCAGCACCATGATGCTGAGTTCTGCAGCAGGATCTCTGGGCTCCTGGCTTTCAGCAGAGAGATGTGTCTTCTTTCTCTTATTTTGTGGATACAGCTTGGAGGTACCCACAGGTAGCAAGAAGCTTTAATTAGCCAATTTTTCTACAACTTGGGGGCAAAAGCTTTGCCACTACGTAGAGCATCAATGCAGCTGAAAGAAAAAAAAAAAAAAAAAAAAACATTAGAAGTAATTCTTGCTTTAGTTCTGTAAAGAGAGGATCCTTTACCAATAAAATTATGCAAAGAGTATTCTGGAACCTAAATAACTTCCCAGCCGGAAAATTTGCTGATCTAGCAGTTCTTGTTTTTAATGAACAACAGTAATGAAGGTTGTAGTAAAAAGTTGAGTTATACCTCGGTGAGCCTCTCATCAGAAGAACAGTGGAAAAGGTAGCAGAACAGAGAAAAAGGAGATCTGGGCTCAAATTATATGCTAAATGTGATGTGAAAACATCACTTACAATATGAAACTAACTGCTGCTAGGTCTGGGTCATCTTTTTGTTTCTATGCTAGAAGATTTCAATACAGAGATTTAAAAATAAACTGATGGCAACAGTTGTCAGCTACATATAGTTTCTGAGGAGAGAACTTCTCTGTGTGACTGGTGAAAAGACCTGGAGGAGCTGAGTCTTTTGAGTCCTTCCACCTAATTCAGTTGCTTTACCTAAATGCAGAATATGAATTGCCCTAAGCTCACACAGAGACACAAACGCACCTCCAAGACAGTCAGATTTTAGGCTGGCCAAAATGCTGGGAATAGGCAGCAAAATCTTCCAAGTCATTTCTTTTATGCTTACTTAAAGTATGTGTTGAAGCTCAGCTACATGCAGTTATCTGTTTCTAGAAGAATTTTTTGTAAGGTTGTACGTATTCCCTAAAATTGGCTCAGACAAAAACTGAAGACATTTGTTCAACTCTTTCCACTAGCTAACACAGCATCCTGCTTCATGTATTCCCAAGTGAGAGGTCTGTGCCCCATGAAGCAGGTCCTCCATCAGAAACTGGACAACACACTCATCTTTGAAGCACGGTTCGAGAGTGGGAATTTGCAGAAGGTGGTTAAAGTGTAAGTTTATAGCTTTTCCTTCTTTTATTACAACAGTTATTATCTGAGTTGTTATTGCCTGCAGCATGCTACTGGTTTCTGAGCAGGTTGTGTTTCTCTGGGTTTGTCATTTGTTTTACACTAACTGAATAAGCTTCAAAAGTTGTTCCAGCTAACCTTCACATGAAATGATCTGATAGCCATTTTATAGCACTGAATGATTTCTGTAGGTAATAATCACCCACCGAAATTCACACAGCTTTTCTTCAGCACCTCCTTTTCAAACATCGCATAGAGAACTTTTTTAGAAGTCCTAGTCATTATTAGAAGTCCTGAGGAAGACAGCGAATTGCATTATTGACACACTCAGAGCAGTTAGGCATCTTTTCCTGGCAGCTTTGTAGGCTTTAATTTATGACAGCATAAATCTGCAAGATTTGCACCTGGTTACACCACAGAGTACTTCTTCATGGCAGCCTACATTACTTGACATTGTGTCATGCTGCAGTGCTAACCAGCATCACAACTGTTTGCCTTCTTTTGCCTACCAGTAATGACTTTGAGTACCAGCTGACCCTGCGCACCGACCTCTACACGAGCAGACACACACAGTGGTACTACTTCCAAGTCAGCAATACTCAGGCAGGGATGCCGTATCGCTTCACTATTGTCAACTTTACCAAGCGTAACAGCCTGTATAAACATGGTTTGCGGCCACTGTTGTACTCAGAAGCTGATGCTAAGAAGCACAATGTTGGCTGGCGAAGGACAGGAAATGAAATCAAGTATTATAAAAACAATGTGGGCGAAGGTGGACATCAGTATTTCTCACTCACTTGGACGTTCCAGTTTCCTCATGACAGAGACACCTGCTATTTTGCCCACTGCTATCCTTACACCTACTCCAACCTGCAGGAGTACCTGGTGGACATCTCTAAAGATCCAGAGAAGTCCAAGTTCTGCAAGATTCGCATCTTGTGCCGTTCCCTGGCAGGAAATATAGTGTATGTCCTGACTATCACCAACCCTCCTGAAAGTGGCAACGACACAAAGAGGAAGGCTGTGATACTAACTGCAAGAGTGCATCCAGGAGAAACCAACAGTTCGTGGATAATGAAGGGATTTCTGGATTACATTCTTGGCAATTCACACAAAGCTCAACAGCTCCGGGACACTTTTGTCTTCAAAGTGGTGCCAATGTTAAATCCAGATGGTGTGATTGTGGGAAATCATCGCTGCTCTTTAACAGGAAAGGACTTGAACCGCAAATACAAATGCAAGGTGAAGAAATGTTATCCTTCCATCTGGTATACCCGAAACATGATCAGAAGGTAACCTCATTTTCTTTCCCTCTTAAATAGATGATTTTCCTTTCCAGTGTCTCTCACTTAGCATGACTTCTCTCTGTCACTTATTGTTCTGGTATTATTTATATCTTTGGAGTGTACCCAAGCATTTCTGACTATTTAGTTTCCCTTCAGTTGTATTTCATAGAGGGCTATTTTTTAATCTGGTGTTCTGTAGGCTTTCCTGTAACATGTTTCCCCCCTCCTGGTTACAACCTGTATCTCCAAAGTGAGAGTTCTCATCAAAGCTTTTTCACCACATTTCTCCCCATTATCCTCTGCCAAGATCTTCTTATCAAAGTCCTAATGTTTCACTCATTTTCTTTTCTGGCATGAAACCATGTCCCTGAATGAATTTAGGTTAAGAATAGATCCCAGCTGTCTATTTGACAGAAAAGACTGTCAAGTTTGCTGTATGTTTTACTATAAATATGTTTGATTTCTTAGGCAGACCAAAGTCACATAGACATAAATACTCCAGATATGAAATTAAATCTTGAGATATTAAAGTAAATCTTCAGCAAGAAAACTTAGCTAGTATTTTTTTTTGTTTTAACTTCTGTAACAAACTGACACAAATAGACCCTTGTGGAAAAAAAGTAAAAAAAAAGAGTCAGAATTAGTATATTTAATGCTTTCCATCCAGCACCATTTAAAACAGACTGTTTTAAATAAGATCAGTGTTCTTTTAAGTATATATTTCAGCATGTATATCCCTCACTTAAAGGAGATGAGCCTGTCCCTCTTGTTCTTTTCCATGAGAATTTCTCTGTCTTACTGTATTAAAACAGCCTGCGCATTTAATTACAGTGCCCTGGAATTAAATAAATTAGGTGTGCTGAAGTGCTTCTGGCCTTCAGATTCAGAGTCAGCCAAGTCAGACAGATAAATTTATTATTGCTTCCATCTTAGCTCTTACATGGTTTTCTAACTCCTGCCCAGAGCAGAGCCCCAGCTGACACACTGTAGTGCCATGACATCTTCTGTGTAGGACTCTGCTTCAACAAGAATTGGATATCAGGGTTGGGGGTTGCTAAACCCCAATATATCCACCTACAGATTTTATTTTAAAAAGCTAGTTTAGTGATAACACACTATAGAGTCTTGGCACATCATAAAAATTGTGACTTCAGCTTGAATAAGGGAAAGAGTATTCACTACATCATTCTGAGCCACTTATGCTTCAGTCTTGTAATTGTACAACATGTATTACTCATCATATGTACCACAGCAAAAGAACAGCAGATAAGAACAGGGGGTTTCAGCTGTACAACATGCTGCACATCCACAGAGGTGGATGCATATAACTGAACCTGAGAGTTAGAGGCTAAAAAAAAGGGGAAAGAGAGGAGAAGAAAAAAGACTGTGGAAAAATAAATACCATAAACACCATGCAGCCACTGCACAGTAGGAGATTGAAGAAATTATATGCAAATAAATAAATAAATAAATCTGTGATTTTAAAAGATGGTGCCTAGCTCTGGAATTCATGAAGATAGCTAAGCTGTGAAAGCTTATGAACAGATGGACAAAGATTGCTGATGTGTACAGTCATGTCTGTATTTCTGTGCAGTGACAAGTGTTTGATCCTGGAGGAGCTGAGCAGTCTGCCTCTAATCTAGCATTCTAAATGTTAAACTTAGCACTCAGAATAGAAAACTCCTATTAATTTCTTGCACTTTAGAATAAAAATGAGCTTCACTGTATCATGTTAGCTCAAACTAATACTTCTGAGGTGGAAAAAAAAAACACGCTTGTTAGCAAAGTGTATTCTGTGTTGTTCCATATTACAGAGTGATGGAGAAACGTGACATTTTTCTGTATTGTGACATCCATGGTCACAACAGAAAACAAAATGTCTTCATGTATGGTTGTGAGAGAAAGCAGCAACCAAAAGCACCGTACTTGCAGCCACGTGCCTTTCCTCTCTTGCTGAGCAAGAATTGCCCAGATAAGGTAAGCAAATGCCAGACCAGAAAATTATTCACTTGAAATTTCAAACACCAACTGTGATCCCTAAGTTTTTTCTAAGGTATCATATCAGCTTAGAGACTGCACTTCACCTAGTAAAATAATCTTCAATTGGCTAAAACTGGAAATGTTAGAAAAATGAAATTTTAACTCCTTTGAAGTTCCAGTACCCCAACATGTGTTGTGCTGAATTGGGTCACAAAGTTAACATTTTTAACAGAATGAAAAACGGAATATCAAAGTAACATTATTTTAATAATTTGAAAAACTAACATTAAATATTACTTATACATAAAGTCCAGCTTTGTAATATATAGTAGAACTAAAAACAACCAAGTAAGTAAGAAGCTAAAGAGGAAAAAAATTTCTAGGCTGAATCTTTTTGAATTGTTCTGTTGAGAATTGTGTTAAAATCACCATGTTTTTGTAAGATATTTCAATTTGGGAAAAAAAAAAAAAGGAGGAAATTATTAGTATTAAAATGTGTAATATTCCAGCAAAACCTAACTGGAGTAAGCTTCTTTTGAACCAGAAAGGTGGTAAACGTTCAATAATAAAACAACACACAAGCTAACCTACTAGATTTCACTGCATACTTGCAGCTAATGCTGTTTTCCTCAGATATCAGTGATAGTAAGGTGGTTGTGAGTTCCAGATCTGTTACGTTAAGCTGTTGATCTGTTAACTCACAAGAAAACTGTTATGATTTTTTAGTAAATATGCACATTGGTATATAGCAAGATTTGTGGTAACTCACCTGTTCAGCAGTCTTACAAGATTTAGAAAGGGTAAGTACAGCCATGTAAAAAATAAGTGCAGAAGTCCCAGAAATCCTTAAAGTAAATTAAACTTCTGGTTGAAGGACTATTCTGTTGTTTCACCTATATCTTGGTTATTCCAGTAATAACAGTGATTGTCCTGAACTATATTGTGCAATATTCAAATAAGGTAGAGTGAAAACTCACAATTATTTTCCTGGTAGATAGGATATAAAAATATTTGCAGGGTTAAAATGAAATTCTTGCATCCTCCTATTTACGTCAAAGGCTAATAGTGTACCTGTCTTTTGAGTTCTCATTCCCAGACTGCCGTTTTAGAGTACGAAAGAGCAAAGAAGGTACAGGTCGAGTTGTAATGTGGAAGATGGGCATCAACAACAGCTACACTTTGGAAGCCTCTATTTGTGGCTCTAAGTTGGGTGAGACAATTCCCTGTAGCTATTCAGTAGGAATCATCATACAAGACCTTTACTTTTGCTTTTTCAGGGAAAGTGGTAGCTTAAGGTACCAACTCTTGCTGGTATTCTGTCTTATTGGTTAGAAATGAATGATGATTGAAGATCAGATTTGAAAAAAAAAACAAACCCTACAGCATGCACCTGGTGGCCTTTCAGGCCACCACCAGCATTATTACATATCTACCATGAAGCAACAATATTAATGAATGGCAAATTCAAAGTAGTAACTAAAATAGTTGTATGCGAATCAGTCATCGGGAAGAAAATCCTCAATAAAAAGAAATACTGTTGGTGCTGAAAGTAATATAATGCATAGTTAATCCACTCTGAGCAGATAGATTTGTCCGTATGGGCAGAACAGTGATCTGTAATGCTATCTGTATAAACTCTGGCAGTCATAGACCTTTCTGGCATTTGTCAGTGAAGAGTTTGCAGTCAGCCACCATCCTGAAATACCACAGCTCACAGTCAGCAGGATTACTGACATTTCTATTTCTGACTTGCTCCTATTGATGTTGCAGGCTGGAGACAAAGCACCCATTTTGATATGAAAGACTTAGAGTCAATAGGACAGCATTTCTGTGATGCTCTCTTGAACTACTCTGTTCATAATGAGGTAAGGAAAGTCCCTCCTAGGCCTTTTCTCCTGCCTCTGTTTATCCTACTGTGATAAAACATAATACTTAATAGGGTTACAGTAATAGTAAATTTGATAATGCCTTTCATTAAAGCAGTCAACTAAATATGTGGTGTGTCTTATTATCTGTGCCTGAAGGAACAAGAGAAAGTAGTGAGACAGCAAACTAAGGTGAAATCTGAAGTCCTCAATTCTGATTTATACTGGGATTCCAGGTAACTTAGAACTATAAAGATATACCACAATTTATTCTGTGTTCTCCACACTGTGTAAAGAGTGCCAAGTAAATGTTAGAAGTGTTATTAACATTAGATTTTTAATACTCACGCTTCTTAATTTAACAGTCCTTTGTTATATATATATATATTATGTATATACATATATATGTATATGTATATACAAACACCATATGCAAACCTTAATGATTGGAAATAGAGCTCTGTATCCGCCCAAGGTGCCCCTCCTGAGGAGAAAATAAACTGTATTGGTGCAGAGCTTGATCTGTTGCATCACTTGAATAATTTTTTTTTTCCACCTTAGATTTTGCAGAGCAATCTAGCCATGATACAAAGTCTATTGTTTTAGTTTTTTGTATGTGTAATTTCACTTACCGTGGAAGATGCTAGTGTGATTCCATTTAGCCAAAGGTTATAATTTCAGGGTAATTTCAGGTACAACAACCAAACAATACAGTTCTTAAATATGATCAGCTCCTCCTGTGCCACTACTGACTGTGAGTGATAGTATGATTAGTTGTGCAGGTGATTTGTGTGAGCTGGGCATATATGTGCTATACCTGTAGCCCTATGGACATTTCTTTGGGAATAAAACTTTAATAAATTTCTTTTCTGGGGAAACACTGATGGGTTGGATCTATCTCATCTAACTTTAGGTGCACAGGGTATAAAAATTAAGAGCTGAGCTTCACAACTAGTACTAGAAGTGCTAAATAAAGAAAGACACAAGATCCTAATGCATTCTCAGACAACTAAGAGAAGGCTCTCTGTGAACAAAGAGAATGATGTTCTGTGGGAGAATTTAGGAGGAGAGGGATAAGGTATGTGAAGTAGAACTAAAAGAAAGCTGGGTAGAAGAAGGAGATGCCACCTCAACAAACCAGATCTCTTCCAATAATCAAGCTTTCTCTAAGATGACACCCACTTTTTGCAGGTTAGCTAGCTGTAGGTTAGCTGTAAAATTAAAATGTGGATCTGGAAGACAGGCATGCAGAAAACATATCGCTACAACTAGAGATACTACAGAAAGCACCCGGTAATGGTTGAAATTACTGCTGCAAAATACAGTTTGCAATTACCAAACTCAGAAATTAAACACAACAATGCTCGTCTTTCACAGCAGTCAAACTTCTGACAGCTCAGACTCCTGTGATCTTCCTGCACACAGGCAAAAACTAGGCACTAAGGTATGCTATGAATTTTTCTTAGCTGTTTACATCTCTGACCTGAATGCCACTAGGAAAGAATAACTAGCGTGTAATAGGATCTATTTTGAAGAAGCTTGGTATTCAGTTGGTGAGAATAATAATTAACAAATTAATCAGGTAGCTGATAATTATAAACCACTTGTGTAATCTGTAGATATAAGGTCCAAATGAACAGTGCAGAGCAATACTATTATTTAACAGCTTAACCCAAATTGTAAAAAAGGTGGTGTTTTAGTTTCAAAGAAAGGCAGATACCTACTAGCCAGGATCTTCCATGCAGATGTACGATCAGGGTGAGGAGGACATCAGCTTTTAGTACAGAATGTATACATTTGTACGCTGATGTCAGCTATACTTTGCAGGCGCTCAGTTCAGTGTTCAGAAGTTCTCTTGTCATGCATATAGGCATGTTATCATTCTGCTGCTAAGTGCTATCAGCAAAAGACTGCCCCATTGCCTATTTCTTATTAGTAGGTAAATCTAGCCCCAGATTTTACAGTGTTTTCACTGGAAGACAATGAGACATTTTATTTTCCTGAAACATGTATTTACTTGTTTCAGGAAAAATAAAATATACTTTACTTGAATTTTACTTCATTCTTGTTTACTTTATGTTTATTTCTTTGGTGACTGTGATTGGTATAATACTCAAAATGTTTGCTGCAGATAAGCAAAACACACTTTTGTGAGTATATTATTTTCTTATCCAACAATAATAGTTCCTGTAAATTGGTACTTCCTGTTTATGTCATAAATACCATAAACAACAGTAAAAGGGGAAACCGTAATACCAACTGAGTACTTAAGGATGTATAAAACCGAAGTGACACCCTGTAGCACTTTTCAAAACATGCTGATAAGCATTTCAGATGACTGGGCTCGTGGACAAGTTGCATGATTTGGAGTTTTAAGTTTAGTTTTCGTTAACGACAGATCGAAAAAAAATGTGGTCAGATGTAGCAGTTGTGAAAGTGCTTTGACTTCTAGTGTTTACTCACAGCTTGAAATTTCTGCCTCTGTTCCGTTCTACGCAAAAGAACCAAGCAAGAGTTTCCAGTACTAATGTTATTCCCAAGAGTGTTTTAGTCACAGGACATCTAACGCATAGTGAGTTGGGTGAAAAATCTCCTTCACAGCACAGTAACTGATAGCAGAGGGTTAGTGAAAGTACAGAGAGGAGAGGGAAGTATTGAGATAGTTTTTTCCTTAGTGTACCTTCTATCTTGTTTGTTCTTATAATGCTACCTTTAGGATTCAGTTTATTTATATGTGAATGATAAATTGGTGCATTTCCCAGCACTGGATTGAAAAAAAAAATCATGAAAACTCTAGAAAGAAAATGTTAAATGGGCTCTGAAGTTAGCAGCATTTTCTGGTTAGTGCTAAGTATCCTGGGCCTTCTGGTGCTTCTCAGGTCTTCATAATTTCTTGCCCTACCTCCTCTCATCAGGCTGGCAGCATGCCTATGCTTGTAGGGTATGACAACCTCAGATCTCTGTGAAAAGCGTGCCTAAAACTATGAGCCTTTCCATGACATTGGGTAAAAATAGCCTTGTATGTGTCAAAAGACTCACCATGCCAGTGTGTTTGATTCCATTTTTTTTCTGATATCCTTGAGTGCTGTTTCCCTGTGGTCTATACATTCAGATTACACATTACATTGATTTCAGGGACTTTCAAACTCAGAAGAAGTGGAGGGGTGTAACACAACTTTAGGTAACTGAAGCCCAGACAAGCACAGAGAAGACCACTGCAAAAAGTTAGGGTATTGTTTCTCATCATTTAGCTTAGTCTTTAAACCTGGTAGACTTGCTTTGTAGTAAACATAAAATAAACATCAAAGAACAAAGAAAGACAGGTGCGTTCCTAGAAACACAGAACAAGAACAAGAAGAACATTTAGTAAATGTTGTTTCACAAGAATATGTAATAAAGCTTAATTGCTTCTGGGTCTGTACTCAGTCTAAACAATGTCATTCAGCTGCCATTGGTTTGCCTGCCAATACCTATGAACAACAGTTCTGTACATAGTGCAAAACTGTTGGCTAAGTGGACCTTCACTAGGTCCATGTCTGTGATTTCTGTACTGAAGCAGGCAAAGACTAATGTCTCACGTGATAAATTGAAGCACTTTTGTTGTATGTATAATAGGAGAAAAACACATCCAACTAACACTGTAACAACAGCAAGATGCTGTCAGAAAGTAAAATTTTATCAAATGAGTTTGAATGAATAGTACATCACAATTCCTGCAATAAATTTCTTACTTTTGTCCTTCCATTGATTATGCATGTTTTGCCTTATGGATCTTATTCAGTGACTAATTTAAGGTTATTAGATCAAAAGACTTACAGAAATTTCCATTGCTGTTCTTGATGGATTTCCTGTAGAAGTACTTAAAGGCATTTGAGAAAGGTGAATAATGGAATATCACAGATACAGTAGAAATTTGACAAAAATCCATGCTGGAGCTGTACATAGCCCTCAATTGCACTCTGTTAACATTCAGCCTAGAAAACTTTGTGGCCTTCAGATGTAAAATAGTTACTGTTACTGTGTCCTAGAGAAAGCAAACTGTCATTTGGAAAGAAGTCGCATTAATATTTTGATGGGTAATACTCTTTTTATGTACATATACATTATAATGCTGGCTGCTTTATGAATGTTTTCATTGGTTCAATGATAGACCAGTGCTTCCCAAGCTTTTTGTATTTTGTGCCAGTCTTTCTTTTCAGAAGGCCCAACACTGGAAAAGCAGAGCAGTGGCAATTAATACTACTGAGAAACCCTGCCTTTCCAGGTTCCCAGACTAAAAATAAACCTCCCAAATTGAGGAGGAAGTGAGGTCCCTTGTCAGCGTGACATGTTTGTGTCCAGGTTCGTAAATATTTGCTGAGCAGAACAGCATAAGGAATTCAGTCTTGAGAAGCTTGCTTACGTATGTTCATTCTGGCATTGTGATTATCATGTTTATTTACAACTTCTTTTTTTTTGTAACTATAATACGCCCCAATTAATCAAAATGGTTGCATACTATTTTATGTGCAGAAAGACAACAAAACATCAGGAGATCATTTTAACAGTATTGCTAAAGACAGAAATCATGAAAGCAAATACGTGAGTATTTTTCATCCCGGTGGAAACTTGTTTTGTTTTGTTTTTTTTTTAACAGAGACCAATGATATATGACACTTCAACCACTGTAACTCTGGAATAACAATTTTGTCACCAGAAGTCACTGATACAGAACAGCCATCTCTCTTTCTTGACAATTGTATCTAGTTTGTGCCGCAGATGTGAAAGTATTAGCATCAACAAGTCTGAGGCAGGAAAAATTATAAAATTCTCTCATGAATGTATTATTTGATACATTTAGATCTCTCTCTAAAGAAATATGCCTTGGATATGGAGACTATACCAGCTCCCCTTCCGTCTCCAAAACTACTAGTATATCACTCCCTTGGCTGGACCACTATCACTCCTAATCTTGTTAAACACAATTTTTGCCAAGTCCATTAAAACATTTTCTCTTGTGGTTTCCTGTCTATCTAACAAAGTGCTGTAAAGAGAAAAGAAAGGGAAAGGTAATTCTAGGAAAACAGGCAATAAATTTCCTAATTAACTTTGGGATTATTACCAAGCCCCAGGTCTGAAATACTTGTGTTTGCATTATTCATAAACTGTGTCATGTCCCTTCATACCGTTCAGATGTGGTACTCAGCATGTATTAGCTGGTCTAGCTACTACCCCATGAGATTAATTTTATTAAAGTGTCAATACCAGGACAATTGTTATAAGATCTAATCTTTTTTAAACATATCACTTCTCCATTATTGTTGTTCAGCACTGTATGTAACTATTTAGAAAATGTGGGCCTTGTTATAGTTGACAAACACCTAAGAATTCTAGGTGGAAACAATGTAGTCAAATGTTTTGTTCCTACTTTCATTAAAAGGAATTTAACTTTTTTTTTTTTTTAAATGCTGAGCATCCAAAAACTTGAAATGTGAACACAAGTTGCAGAGTTTTCAAGCTCATGGAAATCAGGCTAAATATTGAATTACTAGAAAAAGCCTATTGCATATTAACTCTTTTCCCACTAATTATTGAACCCTTACCAAACTTTTCCTGTCCTAACTTAGTTGCATACTCCCTGAACAAGCCATAAAGAGGTTGACATATTAATAATACATTTTTCTCATTAATTCTTCTGTTGCTTGTTACTAATTTGCTTATGTTTCTGTTGTGTCTTACAGATGCCAGGCACTGAAACTCAACATAAGATATTTCAGGAATCTGACCCAGTAGAAAAAGGTAAACATTATCTGGTTTTGTGGGTTTTATGTTTTGTTTATTTATTTTTTTTTTAATCTTAAAATCTTAATTAGTCTTTCTTTTTTTTTTTCTTTCTATAATCCTAAACTCCAGAAAAATTAGCGTTCCAAGAAAGATAATTAGAGTTCATTGGCTGCAATTTCACTCCGTCCCTGCAGTTGGAAGAGCCAATTTTTCTTTCCTTTAAACTGTCTTCACATAATTACATTTGGCTTTACTGTTTGGGAACAGGCTCACTGGAGAAAAACTGAACTTGAGGCAAATTCCAGAGAACTGAACAAATAAATATGTACTACTATTGGCAATAGGAGACACACGTTTGTAATAATGTGCTCATTTGGAACAGAGAAACTAGAAGAGAAAACATTTGTTGCAGCAATGCTCCAGACTAAATCAAATTTAAAAAAAAAAAAAAATCTTCATTCCCAAGAACAGTGTAAGATACTTCATATACTCAACAGTACATCCAATCATTGAAATATAACATTTTGATTTTGGTTTTGCTTGTCTTTTGTCATAAACAAAACTGTTCTGAAATGTCAGTACGATAAAAAAAATATACTCTTAAGTAAATACACCTTTTTTGTTCAGTAAATATGCCTTGGCATGCAAAAAAATAAATATATTAACAAATTACAAATGGAAACCCAGAATGACCCAGTATAAATTTTAGAAGTGTAAAATTAATGAAAGTTATTAAAAACATGAGAAAAATATAGCAGGTAAATCTGAGTTTAATGTGAAAATTTTCTTAAAGATCAAGAAAAAAAGATCATTTTAACAACAGTAGGACTGCATTGCTAGAGATATTGCTCAGAACAAATGATAAAGCTGTTAAAGCTGAGAAGAGAGGCATGTTTAATAAATTCCACATGTAGTATGTGAAAACAGGAAAGCTGATACACATGAGATGGGTGAGGTACCTTCCTATCAGTCTGTTACAAAGGAACACATCGAACAAACTTTCTTGGAATATCCTAAAAGCTTTTTATGTAGCTTTTATTCAATCCAATAATTTAAGGATAGGGTTCGGTAGAGTTTTTGTTGGGGTTTTAATTGAAAATGTTGCTGTGGACAGAGTATTGGAAAACAATTAAATTTGTTATGCTTAATGTCACACTTCAGGGATTCAGTTATCTAAAGAGCCATGAAATAATCCACCATCAAGTACTCAGAGATATACAAAACAAGTTAATCTGTGAAGAAAGTAGCAAAGTAGAAATGCCTTGAACAGGACAGGAGGCTGCCCGTCCTCACTCCACATTGCCATGTCAGCGTTTATTTATTTTAGTCTTTTTTAATTTACTCCAACAAACATCTCTGAGTAGTATTAATTACAGCATCAAGTCACTTCTTTTTTCCTAGTTCTTACAGCTCATGTTATTGGCAGATAATACATTTCTCTCCAGTTCTGACCTCTCCTACAGTTAAACAAGTACTCTGAGGATTACAAAAAGAAAGAGGAATCTTTTCATTGAAATAAGAGCTTTAAAATAATTTCTAGGTGTCATGTCAGCAAATTACAGAGAACAGTACCTCAGCCATTATTTTCAAGAGCAGAATTCTAGAATTCCTTGACCAGGATTAGATGAGATGTAGTCATAGATATTATATGCATTTATATTAAGACACACACATACACCAAAAAAAAATAAATAAAGCTGTGAGTTTTATAGATTCATATGAAGCTATTACACATCAGTTGAACATGGGAATGTGAATACATATTACTTATTCTCTGGCTACATGAAGGATACTGGAATTTATTCTCAAAAGAGTCTTCATACATATAATGTATGAAGGTCCTGCTGGGGGTCAGCCTCTTCTCGCAGGTAACTAGCGATAAGACTAGAGGGAATGGCCTCAAGTTGTGCCAGGGGAGGTTTAGGTTGGAAATTAGAATAAATTTCTTCTCAGAAATAGTAGTTAGGCATTGGAACAGGTTGCCCAGGGAAGTGGTGGAGTCACCGTCCCTGGGGGTGTTCAAGAAAAGGTTGGACATGGTGCTTAGGGACGTGGTTTAGTGGGTGACATTGGTGGTAGAGGGACGGTTGGATCAGATGATCTTGGAGGCCTTTTCCAACCTTAATGATTCTGTGATTCTATGATAATTATCACACTTTGGAAGATGAAAATCTAATAATGTCATACTGTAGCAGTATGTTTTGGCAATAGCTTTGTGCTTGTTTCTAAATTGCTGTCTCGTGTTTTTTCACACATACAGCCAGAACTATTCTACTTTATGACTACTTTGTTTTTGTCTTAGAGAACGTAACCAGGAAAAAACAAAGTCCTGTGGTAGCTAGAAAACTAACCAATAAATACTTGGTTAGTGAAAGGGTTTCTAGGAAGGTGACACGTGAGCCACCTGTGGTATGGAGGGAGAGAGGAAGTAAAAAGTGACTCCCTCTCTGAGCCTCTAAGTTTGGGCACAAATAATTGCATTAATATTGATTTCTGGGATAGGCAGCGCCCATTCTGTTAAGTACATTTAAATATTATAGCTATTAGGGCTTGCCTGCAAAGAGGAAACTGATAAAGAACTTGTGTACTGAATAATGTTTTTGCAGTCTTGGGAGACTTTCTTCCCCAGCTGCAGCTGTGTTCCTAGCTGTTGTGTAGCATGCCCAAGGGTAAAAATAAAACATATCACATGCTTCTAGGTTTTCCTGGAACTGGCCTTACTTAGAAAACAAGAAAAAAAAAATCTTGGCTCTTTTTACTTTGTTATTGTGTTTTTAGATCTGAACTGAAGTACTGTCTCACAGCCTGTAAAACGCTTTACATCTCAGAATCTTTTTCTCCCTCCCCCTGTTCTTCAAGAAATGTTAATACTGGCAGGGTGCATAGTGAAGGCAGATGCTCTACGTGTACCTGAGAGGAAACAATTTCTAGCCTAAAGGTCGCTGTGACTCAGGTACTTTCACTCCACCTGCTCTGGACCCCTGTTCAGCTGCTGCCTAAACACAGTGGCATCACCACGCTGGAGGCTGCAACACTGCTTTCAGCTTCCCAGGGTGCTAGGACTCTGGCACTTCTCATGCCCCAGAGCACCTTGTTCTTACACAGCCAGCTATCCTGCAGTGAACACCAGCAGATAAGCTGCTCATAAACATATATCACCTGTGAAATTCAACTGGATAGCACCACCTCTTCTGTCCCACTCCCACCTATGCTGCTTGACCAGTGTGGTTCAACATAGTACTCATGCATTGGAGATGTCTGTTTATTCTCTCCTGGTCCAATAGAGCATCTACACTTATTGAGATTGACCCAGAGAGTCATGCAGTCAGAAAAAGAGAAACACAAAAGAACATAGGATGCTACATGACTTGCCAGCCTCCACGTAATCCCTGCTCTGAAGACTGAATTTAGTCCAGTGCCATTTGAATGCCCCACTGCCTTGGAGCAGAGACAAGGACTGAGGACGTGCTCTTGAGCAGAGCTGCATGCTTACCAAAACAAGACCATCTTGTTGCCTTTGGCACCTTCACTTCCTGACTTATGGTTTAAAGGATAGTAGAAGAGTTTCACTGGGAGTTGTATGGAGTGTTTCTATCCCAAAATAGCCTTTGTTTGTCAACAAAGAATTGGATGTGGGGATCAGAGTTGGAATCAGCTCGATACAAAGGAAGTCCTAATCTCCCCAACTGGCTATCCTCAGTCTGTATTTTAGTCATCTGGCTTGATATCCAGAGATGTCTGCTTACTATAATTCTACTTAATTCAAGTCTTACTAGCCTCAGCCAGTCATTGAGTCTGAACTGGCTGTGACAAAATTTGGATGTTTCATTGTGTTGTTATTTTTCTCAGAGATATGACATGCAGTTTCGATAATTTTTATTTTTTTCTTCTTTTTTACAGTAAAATTGCCAATTACAGCCTCTGCCAAACAAGTAGGAAAGGATTTCAGGTAGGAGAGTACTATATTTTACAAACTTGTAGCATTTTTCACAAAGCAAGAGTGAGAGAATGTTCCCAGCCTGTTTTCTCTCAGACTCCAGTCTCTTCCTTTTTCATATTCCTCTGACATTGTGCATCTTTTTTTTTTTTTTCACTCACAAATTAAGACAGGGGTCCTTGGCCACTTCATCCCATGGTGGAGACTGCGGTGAATGGCGATGTTAAACATTCAGAGAATCCTTCATCCTCTAGCCCATCTAGAGGACTCCCTCCTTCGGCACATGGTCCCCATTCCCCAGCTTTGTTGGACTCACAGGGGCACAGGCACTGATCTGGTGTTTTGCTTGAGGAAGGGATGATAGAGCCATTCTGTTAGTAAGAAGCAGTGAGAAAACAAAGGCCTAGCATGGCTAGGTGACACAGATAGTCTAAAGGGACATGTACTGGTTTTATTATGGTTTGCTATCTGATGCACTTAAAATCACAATATTGTTGTGGTGCTGGTGCTTAGGTCATTACTAGTGCACTCCCTTCACTTAGAGGTTCTGGTGATTTGGCAATGAACCATAAAGGCAATACTTTTATAGGGACATGTAAGACCCTGTGGCAGTAAGACTGGCAGTGTTGACTACTTTCATAAATACCCACCTACTGATAGGATAAAATGTTCTGTGTCTTGCTTAGTATACACTTAGCTGTTGTTGGGCAACAGAAAAAAGTGAAATTAACTAGCTAGTTAGATGGCAGCAGATCCTGCCACAAACACCATGTGGAAGAAGATATATTCATTTGTTCACACTAAATAATTCACACATCTGCTTTGCACCTTACAGCTCAGACTTTTTAACACAAACTTGAAAATAATAGCCTTTCTCCTAGTAAGAGAGAAAAGAAATGTCTTCAGTATCTTTCTTTACTTCTACAATGGTAAAGTAACCCTCTGCTGCTTCTACAATGGGTACTTCTGTCTGGCTCAGAGGTGGTAATGGTATGGTAGCTACATGATGCTGACACTAGTCTCAAGGCACTGTGATGGAATTGTGGTTCTGTGGAGTTTGAAATACAGTAAGGTGTTTTTTTTTCTCTCATATGATTCTTAGCAAATGCTTCAGACCATTTTGACTGTAATGATTTTCCCTTCTAGGCAGCCATCTTTATGAATATCTTGTCATGAATTTGTATGTAGATAAAATATTTTCTGTCCTGACCTCTGTGTGTTTTAGCCCAGAGAGACTCACCCATGATGCTGAAGGCAATGGTAGAAATACATCTGTGCCACAGAAGTCAAGAAAAAGTGTGTGGCCTGATATAAACCTATCCACAAGAGAAAGTTTCCGTTCATCCAGCTTTAATCTGATTTCCCAGAAGACAAAGAAGCACGATGGCAGAAGTGTCTCCAGCTCTTCGGAGAAGACATTTCAATATTTAAAAGGTTTCTCAGTTATTGTTGTATTCTAAAAATACCAAACAATTAGGATTTACTTCTGTTAGGTGGGTTTCTTAGTCTAGCTATCTCAAGATACTGAAAGCTGTAAGACAGGTGCTAGTAAGCAGCAATAGTGCTGGAAAACTACATGCAGCTGACACTACAGGGGACATCGGAATAGGTTTTATGGAGTTTCCTAGCTGAGACACTAAAGGTCCAGAAGCTCTTTAGCCTCTTTGTGAACACCTCATGGAAAAGCACTTGAAAAATCTCAGCCTAATAATGAAGTATAATGCCTTTGACCCTGCACTTCTGTCCTCCTGCAGTGACTGGTGGGAGAGGCTCTAGCCATCAGTTCGCAGCTGGTCTTATGTATCAGCATGCCATGAAGGGATGTATGATCTGATTATGTGAAATGTTGGAAATAACCATTTAATGTAAGTCAGTAGAATATCATAATGCTGGAGCAATAGACACAGGTCTTGTGCCTATGGCTGAAATTTCCATATTTTAATACTAGTTTTTGAATTATGCCGTGGCTGTCCTTTAGTAAAAGAAATGTTTGTGCCACAGTACAGCGGCTTCATGTGAAGGAAACCAAAGTCATGACCTTTTTTTTTTCACTTAGTAACTCACTAGCAGTTGATATGGGTTTGTTTTTTCCTCCTCTTTGGCTCAGGTACATGATCGTATTGCAAAGAGCAATTCCAAAAAAGAAGAAAGGAAAATGGAGAGTCTCCCTTTAAAGCCCGAAAGACTCAGGAAAAACTGGACAGCAAGCCAAGATGTAAATTGTAGGAAGAGTAAATCCTGCCAGGCACGAAACACATTGCAGTTCTCTCTGCCCTTACTGCCTCAAGCAAAGAACAGACAACCTGCTGCAAAATATCAGGATGTGTATTGGAGTCCCAGTTCTTCAGCCAATGAAGGCCCATGAAAGAGTATCATCCATCTGGTGTGCTTAAACAATTCCTAAAACAAAGTAACATTTATCTTAAACAATGCCTACTGTTTCTGTATGGCAGACTCCACTTCCAGAAGGAACTGTATAAATAGCTAATGACCCTCCACCTTCTTTTTTTTTTTCCTTTAACTCTATTTGGAAGTTTTCCTTATATTCACCAGGAGAGTGATTATTCACCAAGCAGCAGAAGTCACCATCCCCTGATCATAGTGGAGAAAGTGGAGCCATAAGCCATGAAAATCATTTCCCCTTTCACCAGCAAACCAAATAAATTTTACACACAGAAACATTTGACATAAAATCAGTACACAAATCATGGAACTCCTTGCTAAAGGATGTGGATGCAAAAATGGATTCAGTTGGACATGTGCCTTAAAGATAGACCACTGAGAGTTTTTAAATAGACAAGCCACATATGGCTTGGGAAATGTCCTCAGCTGACAAGAGTAAGAACCTAGGAGAGTACTTGGAAAAAGTATATGTTTGTTCCATTCCTACTCTCCCCTGGGCATCCAAACAGAGTCATCTTGGAGACAGAGCGCTGTGGTAGGTGGCCCCTTGGTCTAAACCAGTATGACTATTTGTTACAGCCATACGCCTGCATAGTTTGTGTCATCTGGGGGGGACATAGTACTGTATGGACACCTGAGAAAATGAAATAAGATTAAAAATATGGTTCTTTAAACAGGTACTGGATTTTGTCATCTTTAAGTTTTGCAGCACTCAGGATTGTCTATTGAGTGATTCAGTAGGCTCCCTCACTCTGCCTTGTCTCTATCCTTAGAGCATACTCCATTTTATTACAAAAATTGTAACCTATTGCTGCAAAATCAGGGTCATCACACGTTTAGCATTTGAGAGGAGACAGGCTAAAATTGCCAGTAATAAAGTAAATAAATAAATAAATAAATAAATAAAAATTATTTTTTTCTCTGCAAAGAGAAAGAATTGGCCAATTACTTAAAATGCCAGGTGCCTTAGATGAGTAGAAGAACCTTACACTGTAGTCATTGAGCTGTGATGCTGTGGTGGTTCTAACGCAGGTGGAAATGTAGGGTGTGAAGTATACACAGGATGCAAGTGCACTCCAACCTTTCTTCTCACCAGCCTAAGAACTCCCACGGGAATCTTCCAGGTCCATCACAATGGGGTGGTATAGATATATATAGGCATCTATATCTGAGAGTTTTTTTGGAATACTAGAGGGAAGACAGTTGTTCCGTGGAGATTTCCTCAGGAACAAGGACCAGGGTCATGACCAGCTTCTGGGAAGCTAGTCTAGTAGCTTACTCTTAAAGTAACAAGCTAAAATGAGCAAAACACATTTGAAAGTCCAGCTCAGGCATGCTTTACTTGTGATTGCTAATGCTACTGTAACTACTGATTGTGTTGCTGCCTGTGCTTTAACTCCACCATGAGAAACCGAGAGCTGCAGCGCAGTTCATTCCTCTGTAAAGCCACGTGAGCCTCTACTTAATGCACACACGCAGTCATTTCTATTTCAGGATACAGTTCCAGGGAGAAACAGTTGCACGGGAAATTTGGTTGAAGTCTGCTCCTGGGAAGTGCTCTCCTTTCCCAGCCACAGGCACCAGGCCCCAGCACACCGTCTGACCTCTCCCACCCCCAGTCACGTAGAAGTAGAAGCCCTCCTCTCTCTCCGTGACAGAGATGGGAAGGGGATCCGCCACCCCCCGAGGAGGACAGTGGCTCCAGGGGTAGTGCTGCAGCATGACTGGGCATGGCCTGGCTCGCTGAGGGAGCAGGCCCACTCTGGCAGTCATCCCGATGGCCCCAGCAAACAGGAGCCCAACACAAAGCAAGGGTGTTTGTGAAGGAGCTGTTTGTGCCTTCTGCCCATGGCAGCAAAGCAGCAACCTCCCTGTGGGTGTTGAGGTCAGCAAAAGAGCTGTCTGGCCTCCGGACCCAAACCATTCGCCGTTTTCCTTCCTGAATGGCTGAAAAGTGGCATGAGGCCAAGTGGTGTGACCGCCCTGCTTGAGAGCACAAGCGTACCTCCAGCAGTGCATGTGTCCTCACTGGAGCAGAGGTCTCGCTTCAGTGGTCTCTGCCCCTTCCTCAATTCCCCAGCTAGCAAACAAAATGTTAGATAATGGCCATGTTCAGACCCAAAGCTTCCTTTTGTGTCTGGGCCATTGAACACAGTCAGCTCAGCAGCGGTGGCCTGCTGGAGTTTATTTGCTACATTTCGCTCACCATAACCCCTTCCCCAAGCCATCCGAACCACCCCAATCCAGATCTCCTTCTCAATACTAAATTTAGCAATCTCAATTACTAAAATTACTCCACACACAGAGGCCAGATACAGATGCATCTCCCCAGTGCCATCTGCCTAGTGGCTCTATCCACTGAGCTTCTTGTAGGGTTTCTTCCCTTATTTCCTTTCACTTACACTGTCCTCTAGGATGCAAGTGCCATAGCACTGCATGTAGGCAGAGCTGTATATGTAATATTATAGGCTCACAGCATGTATATCATCAGGAGGTTTCCAGACCTCACCTAAAAGTAGAATTGCTGGGAAGGATTCTGTGAACAGCTTCGTGGCCAGGTTTCCCACACATATCACCTCCTATACATCTCTCCTAACAGACCCACCTCTAAGACTGACTGTACATCAGGACAAATGGTTCTGGGCCTGGCCAGGAGGAATAAAGGAAAGAGAGTTTTGCTGCTTCCATCACACAAGGGTGGATTTGTCAATTTCCTTTTTGTCCCATTCCTGGGAAGGGACATACTCTTGCCAAAGAGCTAGCAGCAGTGTTTGGAGCCAACGGGTCACACTCCAGTCTTGTTGTATGTTTTCCAGGCTGAGAAGAGGGGGGTGGCTGGGGCTGAACTCATGCCTGAAAACTCGCTTTTACTGCAGCTGCTTAAGCAAGGCTGCTTTGTTGGCACTTGCCAGGAAAGAAGGGGTCCCTGGGGCTTAATGGACCATGGGCTGGGAGCACACACATGTACACATGCCCTTGCACTCACATCTTGCTTGTCTGTGCTGGTACTTGACAGCCAGGGCTGCTTGTCCTCTGCAGGCAGGATGTGGTGGGCACAGGTTTCAGTGGTTTCCCTTGGCAGCACGCAGCTTGCCACTTCTCCTGCAGTGTGCCCACACCGGCACTTCTGCAGGCAAAGGGGAGCTGGATCTGGGAAGCTGTGGGAAGGGAAGAGTGTTTAAAGAGCAGGAAGGACAAAATGGTCACTGAACTCTGCCAGTGCTGCGGGACTGACAACAGCACCAGGATGGTCACCTCTACAGACATGCCACAACACAATAAACTCCTCTCAGCCCCCACGGTTGCCCAAGGCTCTCTAACAGCACAGCTTCCCTGGGCAAGCTTAGCCCCGCCAGTTATATTATAGTTGTTGGCAGGGTCAGAAAAAGAAAGTGCAGCTCTGCACCCAGCTGAGCTCAGATTGTTTTCCTGCTTAAATTTAGATTACGCAATATCAGGGAGGAGCACAGCACCAAGATCCCATGGCCCTCAAAAGCGAAACAGAAAGCAGAGCAGCAGCTCAGGACGATAACAAGGGCTGCGCTCGCTTTGTGCTGACAGTGTCAGAGCCCAGCCAGCACAGGACCTGGCAGCAGCTGCAGAGGGGATCTGCTCTCCAGCTTGTTTCAGCTCCGCACCCCGATGGGTAGCCCGTAAGTATCCTCCAGCTGTGCCCCCACCTCTTTAATGCCACTGGCGATGGGGGGAGCTGCCAGGGGTAGAAGGGTTACCCCCGGGTGCAAACGTCTAGGAGGGAGAAGGTCCTTCCCCAGCTTGGGGGCACTGCTGATCTCTCTTTAGGGCTCCACAGAGCTGTTTATCTCTGCGCAGGGATGATCAGAGCTTGTCCCCAGCCCTGAAGCCAGATCCTGGCCAGAGCTACATGCCTTGCCCTCTCCGCCCCGCTACCTTTGCCTGGGCATTCAGCCAGCAGCTTTCTGGGTGGAAGGTGCTTACCTGCCTGTGATTTGGGAGAGGGAACTTGTGTGCCGTCCTGATAGCACAGAAGGGTCCCCACGAGCCCCGTGTTGTACACAGACACCCCCAGGAGCTCCTGAGCCGTGAACACTGGAGCCCCTCTCTGCCCAGAGGCTGAGGCACAGAGCTCATCTTGGTAAAGCCCAGTACTCCCAGCAACGCCCAGCCGGGAGCAAGGGCAACGAGGCCAGGCTGGGGCTGGCTGCACCACGCTTGGGTTGCTTTCTCTTGCACCTTTGTGTTAGAACTGCAAGCTCTCCTGTCCAAAAGGCACAGGAGTCTCCTTAGAGGCAGAGGGGCTGCAGATGGCTGGGATAGGCCCCAGCTGGACGCGAGTGACAGCTCTTTCCTGTTTATCCCTGCTGCTCAGCTGGGCTGCCTCCAAGCCGACTGGGGCCAAGAGGCAGGGCTCACGAATGCCGTGGCTGCGGCTGTGCTGGTGGTGGGGCACCAGGTCTTGGCTTTCACAGCCAGGCCACACGTCCCCTCCAGGCCAGCCGTGTGCCCTCTGCCCCAGCTGGCATCGGGCACTGGCACCAGGCAGTTTTCTGACACCGTCACGGTCACACCAGGACATGCAGATTTATGGGCTGGGCAGAGCAGGGCAGCAAGAGGCCAGATGGAAAATCTGCCTACAATTCTGCCAACACAAAGAGTGAAGGGGGGTGTGTTGCTGGGGAAAGATGAGGTCCTAATAGACGTGAGTATCCAAGGAGAGGGCAGGTGCCTGTTTGGTTGGGGTTCCCTGGGGCCTCATACCTGCGGGGATCACATAGCACCATGGGCACCGCAGGTGTCTCTCCTCCACCTCTGTAATACATTTCCATGGTCCTGTCAGGCATTCAATTCTGCTTCCCTCTCTGGTAAACATGTGCAAGTAGGACAACTTTTAATTCCTGATATGTTTTTCTTTGGGGGGGTAGTGGCAAATAGAAGGCAACGTGAGGTGGTTAAACAGAAAGACTGTTTCTGTAAGCGTGTCTGCCTTAGGAAACCCACCTAGGGAAACAGGACAGCAAGGGGCAGCGGGCCAGCAGGCGCCAGGAGCCCTTTACAGCCCCCAGCTCCGAGCTGTGCCAGATGTCGTGGGGAGCTGGCAGCTAACGCAGAGCACCCGCGCAGCACAGCTTGGACTCCCTCTGAAGGCCATGAGGCGAGGGTGACAGGGAGCATGGTGCAGGGTGTGAGCCCTCACGGGGACAGGGGAGGAAGAGCAGCAATGCCTGGCTGCAGGACAGCGCTGTAAAGACGGGCAAAGAGAAGGAGTTGCTGGGAGCAAGACTGTGGTGGTTTTACTCAGGTGGGCCTCTGAGCTCCACCACAACTACTCTCTCACTCCCTCTCCTCAAGGGGAGGGGGGAGAAAATAGGTGAAAAGGGCTCAAGGGTTGAGATAAGGACAGGGAGATCACTCAACAGTTCTCATCACAGGCAAAACAGACGCAGAGTAGGGAGATTAGAGAAATTTATTACCTATTACTAACAAGCCAGAGAAGTGAGAGACAAAGAAAAACTAAAAACACCTTCCATCCATCCACCATATTCTGCCTTCTCCCCCTGAGCAGCGCAGGGAAACAGGGAATGGGGGCTGCGGTCAGTCCCTGACACTTTATCCCCACCACTCCCTTGCAGTCCCTCTCTGCCCCTGCTCCCCATGGGGTCCCTCCCACGGGATGCCGTCCTTCCCCAATTGAGCCTGTGGG